CTCTTCATAGGGAGTGCCACGTGGGAAGACAATCGTCTGAAATTCCTGAAGCGTGCCAAAACACGCGAATAAACGTTACTGGTGCGTCAGGGGGGAGAGGGAAGAGGAGGAAGAGGAGGAGGAGGAGGAGGACGAGGAGGAGACGGACGCGGAGGCGGAGGCGGCGGAGGAGGAGGAGGAGGAGGAGGACGACGAGGAGGAGGACGAGGAGGAGGAGGAGAAGGAGGAGAAGGAGGAGGAGGAGGAGAGATGGACGAGGAGGAGGAGGAAGAGGAGGAGAAGGAGGAGGAGGAGGGGGAGGAGAAAGAGGAGGAGGCAGCTCAACGGGACGAGGCAAAGCCAAGTCAACCAATCCCGACCGGACGAGGAGTCGGCCGCCAGCGGAGCTGACGCGCGTGTTCAGCTTTCGGCGACTCCGAAGGGTGAGAGTTGCACAAAAGGTGTGATTTGCAACGCGCACCCTGACGGAGTTCTCCGCCGCGCCCCGAAGGGGCCCAACGAGGGCAACGTGGTACCCCCCAAGCCCCAACGACGCAGATCGCAAACCACACCCCGACGTCACCAGCCAGCGGAGCTGACGCGCGTGTCCAGCTCGACGGGACTGTGCCACGTTTGCGGGCGCTTTCGTTGGAGCTTGGCGGCTGTCCTGCCTCGGGGTGCCTTCCAGCAGCTGCACCTCGCCGAGGGCTTTCCAGGCGTGCCCGGATTCGGGGATCTGCTGACCCAGGTCAATCCAGACCCAGGCCACTCGAGCCTTGCAAGACCCTGCAGGTCCCTGCAGGATCCTGCACCCGAACCCGGGCCAATGCGAAGGATCCTGCAAGATCCTGCAGGATCAGCTGCACCCAAACCCGGGTCACTGCGACCCTGGCCTCGGCAGGATCCTGCAAGATCGGGCGCCCTGGCTGACCCCCGTTTGCATTGACCCCCGTCTCGAGGCTCCCGAGGGACCGTCCCGGACGGCCGCCCGGGGCCCGAGCTGTGGCCCGAACACCAAGCTCAGGGGGAGGGCCTGGAGATCCGGGCGCGGCACCCTCTCGCACCGGGCAGCCTTGCTCGGCCTCGGGCCCGGGGAACATCACAGCGCGATCCAGCTCGAAAACATACCGCAGGAAGCGGGGATCTTCTGACCGGGTCAATCCAGGCCCGGGTCAGTCGGGCCTTGCGAGATCCTTGCTCGGCCTCGGGCCCGGGGAACATCACAGCGTGATCCGGCTCGAAAACATACCGCAGGAAGCGGGGATCTTCTGACCGGGTCAATCCAGACCCGGGTCAGTCGGGCCTTGCGAGATCCTTGCTCGGCCTCGGGCCCGGGGAACATCACAGCGTCCGATCGTGAGTCTTCGCAGAAGTTGCAGTGCGCTCGCGACGCCACCGAGTCCACGTGGGCCGCGCCCGCACGAGTCGGACAAGCGCCCCCTGAGAGCGTGCCAACGCGTCGCGCAGGAGCGCGGCGTCCACCAGCCGCGGCGCTGGGAGAGCGGAGCGGAAAGGAGCGGAAAGGAGCGCGCAAGCCCGCCAGAGCGCGACCCTTGAGGGTCGGCGCGGGCGGGCTGGGGCCCAATTACGCCGTGGTGTCGCTAATGTTCATTCAGAAGCCGCCGCGTGCGTGCTAGATGGTCCCCCCAATCCGCCGCACACAGCTGTCGCAGGCAGGGTTGCAACCAGCGTCAGACTGGAGATCCAAAGGCCCCCCGGGTCTCGGCACTTTTTGCTGGCCCGCGGGCATCCGCGGGGACCCCCCTGCCAGATCCGCGGAGCGGGGCGTGCACGACACATCGGCCGAAGCCGTGCCGCGGGCCGGAGGCGCAGGCCCAGGCCGGGGCCGAGGAGGGCTGGGCTGGGCTTCCGGCTCCGCCGCGGCCTCGGGCGCCAGCGCGGAGGGGCCACCGGTGGCCTTCCCGCCATGGCTGCCACGCGCGAGCAGGGCTGGAGAAGGCGCAGGGCAGGCCCGTCCTGCGCGTGGCACCGCTCGCGCACGGCACTTGCACGCAGCCCAGCCTCTCCACGCCGCGCACGCGTCCGGGCCCCGCCGGCGGCGATCGCCACCATCAGCTCGGCGAGCTGCCTACCCCTGCACATGTGCTGGCTACACTGTCAGCATGCATGCCCGTTGATGGAAGCGCCGAAGACTCACATGGTCCTGCACCTTTTTTTTTCTCAATGAAACCAATTACCGTCCCCCCTCGCCTCCACGGTAGTGGGTGGGCGGCCCTCAGGGCCACTGCCTCTGAGCCTGGAAATCGTCAATGGTCGTCCTGAGGGATGGAGAGGGGTGGATGAAGGGAGGAGGAGGAGGAGGAGGAGGAGGATGAGGAGTAGGAGGGGAGGAGAGGTATGGTAGGAGGAGTATGGAGGGGGAGGGGGGGGTTAGGGGAGGAGAGAGGAGGAGGAGGAGGAGAGGAAATGCCATAGAGGGCGGAGGAGGAGACTGTTTTTTTGCCTGTTTAGCCCGAAGCCCGATTCGTGAAGAACCCTTACTGAGAAGCGAGGGCAGATTAGGAGGGAGGGATGTGGAGGGAGGAGGAGGGATGTAGGATGGCAGGGCAGGGAGCAGAGAAAGGGGGAGGGAGGGAGCAGGCAGCAGGAAGCAGAGCGGACGAAACAGAAGGGAGGGAGGGAGGGAGGGAGGGAGGGAAGAGGGAGCAGGGGGGAAGAGGGAGGGAGGGAGGAGGAAGAGAGGGAGGGAGAGACGGCAGGAGGAAGGAGGGAAGCATCGAGGGAGGGAGGCAGAGAGGGAGGGAGGAACCGAGGGAGGACGGCGGCGACGTCGCTGGCGCTCCTGCAGCTCTCCCAGCAGCCCGCCCGCCTGGGCGCGCGCGCGCGCCCCGCGACGGGCTGGCCGCCGCTGGCGGCGGCCGTCGGCGGCGGAGCCAGCGGCGTCGTCGTCGCGCTCGCGGGCCTCTTTCTCTGATTGGGACGCACATAGGCATACTAGTACTACATGTCCTCCTCGGAGGCGCGCGTCCGACCCGAACAGATAGTAGACCCATCTTGTAGTAGACCGTTTCCCGAGCGGTGTGGCCAGAATGCGCCCGCCACGACGCATATCCTACAAGATTTCTCGGTGCGCGCGTCGCCCCTGGGGGGGGGACGCACACGTAGTGTAAATATGTTGGGGGGACGCCGGCTCATCCTTCTCTGCCTCCCTCTTCCTCCTCCTGCCTCCTCCACAACTACACAATCTGAATACTACCCTCCTCTCTGCCCTGAGAGGGTCCAGAAGCGGTTCGGCCCCCCTCCGCGTCCTGTTTGTTTTGCACACGGGGTTCCCAGGAACTGGGTTTTCGCTTGGAGTTGTTTTTTATGCTGGTCCCGCTGAGACGCTGGCCTCATTTTCGGGCCTCCGCTCGTTCCGAGTCGTGATCCCGCTGCAGCGCTGGCCTCATTTCCACGCTTCCGCTCGTTCCGAATCGTGCTCCCGCTGCAGCGCTGGCCTCATCTCCGCTCTGAGACTCGTTCCGAATCGTGCTCCCGCTACAGCGCTGGCGTCATGATTTCCAGTGCCATGCCACGGCATGGTGTTCGGTCCTTCCAAGTAGGCCCCAAAATCTAGAAAATGGCCCCCGATAAAAACATCGGAAGTGATTACTCGTTCGGTGTCGATTTGTTGATTTTTGGGGGGTCGCAAAAGCTATGGAGCGCGGCCCACTTTGGGCCCACGTTGGAGCGCGGCCACGCCACGCTATGTCATGCTACGCGTTGATCTACAACACCATGCTATGACATGTAATGCCATGCCATGCTACGACATCCCCCTGTGCGACTGGAAGAGAGGAGATCTACGCCATGGTAAGGGATGGGAGGGAGGGGTAGGACGACAGATATGACGCGAGCGCACCTGGTTCGTCCACCTCCCCCTCCCCCCCTTCCCCTTGCCCCCCCTGCGTGGATAGCAGGGCCCCGTCAAGGACTCGGGGATGGCTGGGACACCCCTAGTCGGTGGGTCGGCGCCGCCAGACGTCGGGCGACAAAATCTGTACATCCTCCTCCTCCTCCTCCTCCTCCTCCTCCTCCTCCTCCTCCTCCTCCTCGCGCCTCCTCCTCCTCCTCCTCCGCCTCCAAACGCCTCTTCCTCCTCGCGCCTCCTCCTGCTCGCGCATCCTCCTCCTCCTCCTCCTCCTGGTTTTGGTTCTGGTTGAGGCGCACCCAAGTGGGGCGCGTTGGTGCCGAAGCCCCGGGCAAAGGGCAGGCATACGCAGTCCCGAGCAGGGCGCTGGCAGTGGGGCAAATGCCCGGCGCGCGTGCCCGCTCCCATGGGGGCCGGGTGTCGCTTCATGCGAGACAGTTGTAGGGGGCCCCCTGGGAGCCGCGCCTGCCACGTCGCCAAATGGCGGAGCGCAAGTGCGCGAGCGCAAGTGCGCGTGTTGCCAACTGGCCGCATCGACACGGGGATCCTCGTCGTCTTCCCCCTCCCCGCCACAGCTCCACCACCACCAGCCAGGCGAGGGAAAAGGGGAGAGGGAGGAGGGCG